AGGTGCTTTGGAGAATAGTTTGACTCCCTCTTCTTTGTGGCAACCCCTGAGATATCGGAACACTGCTATCATGTCTCCCCTAGTCCTTCTTTTAAAAAAACTAGGCATACCCAGTTTCTGCAACTGTTGTCTCATATGTTTTTGCCTCCAGTCCCCTAATCATCTTTGTTGCTCTTTGCATTCTTTTTAGAGTCTCAACATCTGTTTTACAATGTGGCAACCAAGTGTGGTTTACCAAGTTATTAAGTTAGTAACACAACTTTTAAATGAACCTGGCTTCCCCATTGACTTTGCTTGCTAGAAGGTTGTTAAAGGTGATGATATGACTCCAGGACACTGCAACTCTCATAGTTATGAGCCAGTTGCCAAGTGTCTGAATTTCAAACATGTGGTCATGGGGATGCTGCAAGGGTTCTACGTGTGAAAAATGGTCATAGGTCACTTTTTTCAGTGCTGTAACTTCGAACAGTCACTAAATGAATGGTTGTGAGTTGAGGACTACCTATACATGCAGAATAAAAATTATACGACTTCATTAAGATAAATGTAAATGCTGGAATTCTTAAAAAGGCATTTAAAGACTGTTTTTGATCTGAATGAGTAAAAATAGGCTGAAAATAGATTCTTAACTGGTATAAAATGCAGTAGCTTGTAAGAGCCATGGTGGTGCACTGGTTAGGATGCAGTATTGTAGGCAAGCTCTGCCCACTGCCAGAAGTTCAATCCTCAGCCCTCCATCCTTCTGAGGTCGGTAAAAGAAGGAACCAGATTGCTAGGGCCAATATGCTGACATTGAAAACTGCTCAGAAAGTGCTATTAAGCACTATGGGGGGTAAATAAGTCTAAGTGATATTGCTATTGTATTAACTATTAGTAAATCCAGGTTGCTATAATCAACCTGGCGCAGTGGTTAAATGCAGCACTGCAGGCTACTTCAGCTGACTGCAGTTCTGCAGTTCGGCTGTTCAAATCTCACCGGCTCAGGGTTGACTAAGCCTTCCATCCTTCCGAGGTGGGTAAAATGAGGACCCGGATTGTTATTGGGGGCAATATGCTGACTCTGTAAACCGCTTAGAGAGGGCTGAAAGCCCTATGAAGCGGTATATAAGTCTAACTGCTATTGCTAACTGCTATTGCTAACTGCTATTTCAGTACACATAAACATAGTCTTATTATTCCTAAATATTACATTTCATTTCCATTGTTTCATATTATTAANGTCTCAAGTCCGTCCCCTTCCAGAGGAATTGCCTTAAAGCTTCCCTTACCAGATTACCCCTGACTTGAGGTATGTGCAAACCAGATCCTCGGTTGAAGGGAGCCAACAAAGGGCTTGTGTGTGTGTGTGTTTGTGGGTGTTTGTGTGTGTATTTATCTCTTGTGGGAAGCCTTCCATCCAGCTCTCACCTCCGTTTCAAGAAAGTCCATTTTGGCAAGCAATCAGATTTGCGCTGGCAAATTCGGAAGGTCCACCCAGGGTGAGACCCCGGGGGTGCCACGCGGGGTGTGGGGGGGCAGCCTCAGAGAATCTGAATGCCCAGTTCCTCGGCCGTCTTCTGCAGCCTGTCCATCACGTTCTCCTCTGGCTCTGGAACGAGCCCGCTAGGCACAGCTGCCCGGGTCTCCGAGGGGGCGTTGGCCATCACGTAGTAAACCGTCTCGCTCTCTCCGTGCTCGTTGGTCCTATTCACCACCCGGATGATCGGGCTGGGAGGGGCGCTCGGATCGCCATCCGGAGACTCGCTGGCACACGACGGGACGGAGCTCTCGGTTGGCAGAGGAGCTGGCAAATCGGCCTCCGTCGGCTCCTCTGTGGGCGAGTCCAGGATGATGCCCTGTAAGCCGCCTTCCGACCCGGCCAGCACCACGCACTGGGCTGCGTCATCCAGCGACTCTCCCTGCTTCTCCCGGTCCTTCAGAAGCTGCTCGGTCAGTTCCACGCTTTCGTACCTCACCAGCTGAAGGCGCATGTACCCATCCTCGTGTTCTTTGTACCTAGATGAGGTGGCAGAGGCTGGGATTAGCGGGGAACCATGCCAGGGTGTTGGCTAGTTCTTGGCATCCCAGCACCCTTGATTACCAAAAGCTGGTGAACACCCACACAGTTTCGAAGCTGCTATTGTGCCAATTCTTCAGAAAATATTTGAGTAGCACAAGGAGAGAAGGATCTACGTTTTTCTCTGCCTTGCCTGGCATTTATCAAAAAAAAGAAACACGAAGAGGCTCAACCCTNCCAGTTCTTCAAGGCAGTGCGGAAGGCCTGGACGGTGGAGAGGGTACGAATCTCCACGGGGAGCTCGTTCCAAAGGGTCCCCCTCTTTCCACTTTTTATACTTATCCTTTTTGTCTTTCAATTTGTCAGAGAGTTCTTTATGCAGCCATTTCTTTTGGGAGCTGTTATTTTTCTTCTTCATTGGTATTGTGCTAGACTGGGCTTTTGTAATCTCATTCTTCAAAATTTCCCAAGCTTCTTGAGTTGTTTTCCCCTTTAGGATTCTCATCCATGGAATTTTTCCCAAGCTCTCTCTAAGTTTTTCAGACAACCACCAAGCACATGGTTCTCTAGTGCAGCTGAACACCTGGGGTTAAGAGCGAGGGGCTTTTATACCTTCTTTTGGGCTTTGAACTTGAGCTTCCTATTCCTGTGCAAGAACATGTATTCTATTGGCTGTAGTCAGAGTCCCATATGGTGCCATGCTTGCCTGAGATAAGTTTGGTTGAAGTTCTGGTGCAAAGTCCTTTGGAGATTTTGCAATGCAGTGAGCCCTGCTGCTAGATGACCCTATTATGTCCTGGCTTGGAGGGTCATGTCTCAATCCCATCACCCTGGAGCTGCCTTGTAGATAGGCTGACCCAGTCCTCCTCAGTCGGCACTAAATATCTGTTGGGGGCAGGGAGCTAGGGCTGAGTTACTGTCTCCCTTAAGATTTTTTTTATTTCTCTTTTAGGGGGAAATATTTTATCCTGCCTTTAAAAATATTTCTCAAAACATTTCACTCTTTGTAGGAGGGTTGACGTCCCTCACTCCCATCCCAGTCCAGTTGGAAGAAGGAACCTGTGGCCTCTTGGGTGCTGCCTTAACAGGCCCACTTCATCCTCCCCCTCCCCCCATAGCTGACCCCCCTCCCCAATGCAGGCATTTAGACTCGGCTGGGTCTCCGAGGGTGCTGCCCTCTCGTCCACTGGCCCACCGGCGTTCTTCCCCAACAACTCCAGGCAGTTTGGACAGTTTGGTGAGTAGGGGTGCATTAGTGAGTAGGGGTAGATGTTGCAAGGAGCTTGAATTCTTCAGAGGTACTGAACCAGAGCTGGGGAATGTCGTTGCTACAAACGGTCAAAGAAGAGAGGGAAGAAAGGGAAGAGAAAGAAAAGGGGGGAGGAAAATGAAGAAAGGAGGAAGGAAAGGAAGGAATGAAAAAGAAAAGGAAGAAAGGGAAGATGAAAGGAAGGGAGGAAGGAAGGAAAGGTGGAAAGGAAAGAAAGAAAGGGTAGCAAGAAGGAAAGAGACAAAGAAGGAAGGAAGAAAAGGTAGAAGTAAAGAAAGAAAAAAGAAAGGAGGAAGGGGAGGAAGAAAGGAATGAAAGAGAAAAGGAAGAAAGGGAAGAAAAGGGAAGTAAAGAATAAAAGGATGGAAGCAAGAAAAGAAAGAAGGAAGGAAGGAGTAAGAATGGATGGGAAGAAAGAAAAAAGGAAAAGAAAGAAGGGAAAAAGAGCAAAAAGCAAAAAGGAAGGAAAAGGGTGGAAGAAAAAGAAAAGAAAGAAAGAAAGAAAGATAGAAAGAAAGAAAGGGCAAATGTCATCCAGTGCCTACCCACTAAGTAGATCAGAGTGGATCTCACCTGCAAAGGAAGAGCAGAGTCACCCTTGATTGAGATCAGCTATAATAACACAATCGTCCACGGCTGATTGTGCCCCCCCCCCACTTGTCCTCTTGTCAATCAGGGAGGCATCTTTCCTGAGCTTCTTCAGATTTCTCAGGGTTTTAAAGTGTCTCCGTCTCCTTTGCCAAAGAGAAGGTCCTTGGTCTTTCCACCCAGGTCACCGTCCTTTCTCCCTACAGGGAGCCCCTTCCACCGCTCCATAGCTGCGTCCACAAAACCCCAGGGCTGTCCGTTCTCCCTCTCACAGCCTTTGCATCTGGCAACATCCAGTTGACTTTGGTCGATCTCGGAAACTAATTAGGTTCAGGCTTGGTTTGTACAGGTAGTCCTCGACTTAACAACAGCCCATTTAGTGACTGAAGTTACATCTGTACTGCAAAAAGTGGCTTATGGCCGTTTTTCACACTCACAACCATTGCAATATCCACAGGGTCAAAATTCCGACACACGGCAAGGGACTCATATCTACGACGGTTGCGGCGTCCCTGGGTTGCGTGATTTTGCAACCAGTTTTTAAACACAATTACGGCATCTAGCTTTGGTCACCACAAGAGAAGAAAAAGATATTTGGACTTGGGAAAAAATGCAGAGAGGAGAAACTGAGGAAAGGCTTGGGGACAAAATCCTATGAAGAAGGCTTGTAGGATCTGGGTTTGGCCAGTCTAGAGAAAAGGACGAAGGGGGGACATGATATTAGCAGCACTGCAATATTTAAAAAGGAGGGGGGTCAACCTATTCTCCACAGCACCGGAAGGCCGGAGAGGAAACGATGGACGGAAACTAAGCAAGGAGAGAAGCAACCTAGAATTAAGGAGAAAGTTCCTAACAGGGAGGACAATCAACCAGTGGAACAGAGGTTGCCACCAAAGGTTGTGGGTGCTCCATCAGTGGAGGCTTTGAAGAAGAGACTGGAAAACCACTTGGTCTGAAATGATGCAGGGTCTCCTGCTTGAGCAGGGGGCTGGACTAGAAGACCTCCTGGGTCCTTTCCAGCTCTATTCTAATTAACTTTCTGACAAGCAAAGTTCCATGGAGAAATCAGATTCACTTAATAACCGTGTGACTACCTTAACCACTGCAGTGATTCACGTAACAGTTGTAGCAAGAAAGGTCATAAAATAGGGCAAAACTCACTTAACAACCGTCTCACTCAGCAACAGACATTGTGGTTGTAAGTTGAGGATTATCCGTACTTCGTTAGGTGCCCACCTGCTTCCTCTGTTTAGGATGGAGGAAATAAAATTCAGAAGAAGGCGGCAATCCACTCCTATTAAACAGACAAGGACATGGCATGGATGCAACTATCAAGAGGCAACATTCATTCAAGGGCAGACTTAACTTTTTTACCAATCCTCCAGCATCTTTCCTTATTTTCTCATTCGTTGACGTCTCTCTATTTTAAAGGTTGCCCCGGGGGTTGAATTCCTAGGTATGAATTGGGCTGCCGAACCTCAGGTTGCCGTGATGTCATCCGTTCACCTTAATATTTTAAAACCCCATTATCTGCACGTTTGCCAAGGAAGCTAAGGTGTTGACCTTAATTACGGATGCTTGTTTGATAAATTTGGATCAGTTATGGCCTCTTGACCTCACCAATATATTAAGAAATATCAGGTGCAGAACATCCACTGTTAGTAAAAGGCATGTAATTTCTAGATGGTTGGGTATGAATTGGTAATTAGACTTTGGGTGAGGTTATCCTGGATTGCAGAGATGAACTGAAGAAGCTTCTTGGATGAGAAATGAAACATCTTTAAAGAAAAACAAGGAAGTCCAGAACCTGGATTGTTGTTGGGGGCGATATGCTGACTCTGTAAACCGCTTAGAGAGGGCTGAAAGCCCTATGAAGCAGTATATAAGTCTAACTGCTATTGCTATTGCTATTGC